AGGGCTTTGGAGGCGGGGGCGGGGGCGCCGATCGCGCGCCGATCACGCGTTTTGCCTGGGGCGCCAGCTGCCGGCAGCTCGTCTAGGGCCGCTCCTGACGACCACCATGAGGTTGACTCTCCCCGCCAGATGCAGGTAAGGAGCCACGTTCAGCTTTGACATGTTTGGACGTTTAAGAACATCGGAACGGCCAGACGGGTCAGAGCAAAGATCCAGCGGGAGAGAACAGAACCGGGAACCATCCCGTGATCCCCCGGTCGCCCCTTCCCAGCCTCCTCCCTGCCCAGCCTGTCCTCCAGGAATGTCTCTTTCTCGAACCCTGATAGGGTGCGTCTACGCTGCACCCTTACTTGCAAAGAAGCGAGACAATTCGTGCTACAAAAATTGTGTAGCTTATTTCGAGGTTATTTCAAAACAGTATTTTCAAAATTTGGTGCCACCTACCCAGCGCCAAATTTCAAAATAATGTGCGATTCTGACAAGTCCCTTAACCCTTGTGGAAGGAGGGCTACAGGGACACAGGAATAGCACGCCCGTTATTTCAAAATATATTTTGAAATAATGGGAGCATTTAAAGACACAGAATTGCTATTTTGGGATAATTTCGGTATCCCAAAAGAGCCCCGCTGTCTAGATGTAGCCTTAAAGTCCTGGTCTTCACAACATCCTCTAGCAAGGAGTTCCACAGGTTGACTGTGTGTTGTGTGAAAAAAATACTTCCTTTTGTTTGTTTAAACCTGCTACCTATTAATTTCATTTATTAATTTAATTTGATGACCTCTATTTCTTTTGTTATGGGTACAAGTAAATAACTTCCTTATTCACTTTTTCCACACCTGTCATGATTTTATAGACCTCTATCAAATCCCTCCTTAGTCTTCTCTTTTCTAAGCTGAAAAGTCCCAGTCTTTTTAATCTCTCTTCATATGGGACCGGTCCAAACCCCTAATAATGTTTGTTGCTGTTTTCTGAATGCCAATATATCTTTTTTGAGATGAGGTGACCACATCTGTACGCAGTATTCAGGATGTGGGCATCCCATGGATTTATGCAGAGGCAATAAAATATTCTCAGTCTTATTCTCTATCCCTGTGCTAATGTTTCCTAACATTCGGTTTGATTTTTGACTGCCGCTGCACACTGCACGGATGTTTTCAGAGAACTACCCATGACTCCAAGATCTCTCTCTTGAGTAATTGTAGCTAAATTAGCCCCCTTCATATTGTACGTATAGTTGGGATTATGTTTTCCAATGTGCATTACTTTACATTTATCCACATTCAATTTCATTTGCCATTTTGTTGTCCAACCACCTAGTTTGGTGAGATCTTTTTGAAGCTCTTCACAGGCTGCTTTGGTCTGAACTACCTTGAGCAGTTTGGGATCATCTGCAAATGTTGCCACCTTCCTGCTCACCCCTTTCTCGAGATCATTTATAAGTAAGTTGAATAGGACTGGTCCTAGGACAGACCCTTGGGGGACCCCGCTAGTTACCTCTCTCCACTCGGAAAACTGGCCATTTATTCCTACCCTTTATTTTCTGTCTTTAAACCATTTATCAATCCAGGAGAGGACCTTCCCTCTCATCCCATGACAACTTACTTTACTTAAGAGCCTTTGGTGAGGGACCTTGTCAAAGGCCTTCTGGAAATGTAAGTCCACTGGATCCCCCTTGTCCACAAAGAATCATAGAACATTAGAATTGGAAGGGACCTCGAGAGGTCAAGGCCAGTCCCCTGCCCTCACAAGAGGACCAAGTACCATCTAGATCATCCCTGACCGTGTCTGTCTAACCTGCTCTTAAATATCGGCAGTGATGACAATTCCACAGCCCCCAGTAGGCAATTTATTCCAGTGTTTAAGAAATGTTTCCTGATGTCCCATCTAAACGTCCCTTGCTGCAGCTTAAGCCCATTGCGCCTTGCTCTATCCTCAGAGGCCAAGGGGAACAATTCCCTCCCTTCTCCTTGTGACACCCTTTTTGATACCTGAAATCGGCTCTCGTGTCCCCTCTCCGTCTTCTCTTTTCCAAACTAAAGAAGCCCAGTTCAGCCCCGCCTCTTAGCTCATGTCCTCTAGACCTTTCATCATTATTGTTGCTCTTCTCTGGACCCTCTCCAATTTCTCCACGTCTTTCTTGAAATGTCATGCCTAAAACTGGACACAAGACTCCAGCTGAGGCCTAATTAGCGCAGGGCAGAGCGGAAGAATGACTTCTCACGTCTGGCTCATAACACTGTCAATGCATCCCAGAGTCATGTTTGCTTTTTTTGCAACAGCGTCACACTGCTGACTCATGTTAACTTGTCGTCCACTATGACCCCTAGGTCCCCTTCCTAGACAGTCACTTCCCACTCTGTATGTGTGAGACTGATTGTTCCTTCCTAAGTGGAGCACTTTGCATTTGTCCTTCGTAAACTTCACCCTATTGACCTCAGACCATTTCTCCAGTTTGTCCAGATCAGTTTGAATTCTGACCCTCTCTTCCAGAGCAGTCGCAACCCCTCCCACTTTCGTATCATCTGCAAACTGAATAAGTGTCCTCTCTATGCCAATATCTGAATTGTCGGGCGAGTGCTTGTTCCTGTTCAGTTCACCAATTTGTTCCAAAACCTCCTCTAATGACCCCTCAGTCCGGGACAGTTCCTCAGATTTGACACCTCAAAGAACGACCCAGCTCGGGAATCTCCCCAGTATTCTCTGCCGTGAGGACTGAAGTGAAGAATCCGTTTAGTTTCTCCACAACAACTGTCTCGTCTTTGAGTGCCCCTTTGGCATCTCCATCGTCCAGTGGCCCCTCAGGCAGACTCGATATCCCGGCTGATTTCTGAATGGTCTCCAGAGAAGGGCTTGTGTGTTCTTATGTATGTAGAGCCCCCAGCATGACGACCCTCAAGGGGGCCCTCTACCTACTAACTAACTACGTATGTTCTCCCTTTGGCGTGAGTGGTAGTCGAGTTCGGGACGGGCAGGGCCAGGAGCCACGTTTGGAATGGGCAGTGTAGGGCCGGGAGCCACGTTCGGGACGGGACGGGATCCACGTTCGGGACGGGCAGTGTAGGACCAGGAGCCACACTCAGGAAATGAAGGGCAGGACTGGGAGCCACGTTCGGAATGGGCAGCGTAGGGCTGGGAGCCATGTTCGGGATGGGACAGGACGGGAGCTGCGTTTGGGACGTGCAGGGCAGGACCGGGAGCCGCATTTGGGACGGGCAGTGTAGGGCCAGGAGCCACATTTGGGACGGGATGGGAGCCACGTTCGGGACGGGCAGTGTAGGGCCGGGAGCCAAGTTCGGGACGGGACGGGAGCTACGTTCGGGACGGGCAGTGTAGGGTCGGGAGCCGCGTTCGGGACAGGATGGGAGCCACATTTGGGACAGGACGGGAGCTACGTTTGGGACGGGCAGTGTAGGGCCGGGAGCCGCGTTCGGGACGGGACGGGAGCTACGTTCGGGACGGGCAGTGTAGGGCCGGGAGCCACGTTCGGGACGGGACGGGAGCTACGTTTGGGACGGGCAGTGTAGGGCCGGGAGCCGCGTTCGGGACGGGACGGGATGGGAGCCACATTCGGGACAGGACGGGAGCCACGTTCGGGACGGGCAGGGCTGTGCCTGTTAGGATGAACAGCGGATGATATGCGTCAGGGACATTCACTGGTGAAATCCGGGATGTGCCCAAAGCAGGGACCCAGCGTCCTGTCCCCGAGCCCCACAGAAACAACGCGCAGCCTGCAGGATCCGTGCTCAGAAATGCCCAGCCTGCCCCTCCCGTGTGTGCTGCGCCCCAGACGCTCTGCCCCTGCCTGGCCCTCAGGGGTACCCAGGGTTAGTCAGAGCACCGCGAGGAGAGTCACGTCCCACCCAGCCCTTGGTCTCTGGGCGTGCTGCTTCTGCACTGAGTAACCCCTTTCTTGCACAAGGACAGGCTTGTCTACACTTGACAGTTAATTCAGATCAAGGGAGGGTGTGAATTGGAAGTGCAACAGCTAGCCCTGATTTCAGGCCAGTGGAGACACTGAGTCTAAGGGCCAGATACGGGGTGGGGGGAGGGAGCCATTAGCACCTTTCACACTGGGAGTAAGGAAGGAGCCACAGAACAGATGTGCCGATTCCCATCCCCCGGGGCCCAGGCTGGAGGGGCTGCCCTGGCACCGAGTGTGGGAAGCCGCGGACCCGTAACGGGTCTGGAAACGCTCTGGAGCAAACGGGGCGGTTCTGCAGCTGGTGTGTTCCAGGAGCTCCCACTCCATAAGCACCCGGGTTCCGTCTGGCCTCGGGCTCTGTGGAAGGGCTAAGCGGGGTCGTGCGCAGTGATCTCAACCCGCCTGGTCCCACAGGCCAGTCTAGCCCCAGGGCCGGTTGTCCCTGCGGCTGTCCAAGGCCAGGCAGGCTGGGTCAGACTGGGATGCTTGGGGAGCTGAGTGTCCAGCAGACGAGAGCGCACGTGAGAGACGGGAGGGGACACGCCTAATTTTCTGGCTGTTCGTTGACCCGCAGAACTCCTCCTGTGATGCCAGCCCTGCCCTCTGGCCCAGGAGTTGCCCTCAGGTGGAGAGGGGCAGCCACTGGAAGTCCAGAGACCAAGTCAGCGCAGCGGCCTGGCAGCAGGCTGCGGAAGGACTTCAAAAGACGACAAGAAGGAGGATAAGCCAGCATCCCAGATCGGACACCGGCCACGGGCAGGCGCAGAGCAAGGCCCTGCTGGAAGGTACGGAGCTGCCTTTTCTGCGCGCTGGTTGAGTCGAGAGAACGCCCAGGCCTCAGGGAAGCTCAGATCCAAGGGTGGTTTCTGCAGCTTCGGGTCCTTTCTGGAAGAAATGGAATGACTTAGAAAATGAAAAGGAATGAATTTAGTCGGTGCAGTGCTCGCTTACTGGAGGTTAGCAGCACCGAGGTTTCCTGTGTGGGGAAAACACAGGCAGGATGACGTATCTACTGTATATTTGGGAGCGTGTGTGTGTGTCTGGTCGAGACTCCTTCTAAACGGCAAGCGCTAGGGCCACCAAATCGTAGGCAGCTCTATAGAATCAGAGACTCGAGGGCTGGAAGAGACCTCAGGCGCTTTACGCTTCCTTTGATCCTCGCTTACAGAAAGGGCAGAGGGTGCTTGTGCCAGGACAATGGGATGTGCCCAGAACGGGATTGTTCTCCTAGCCCAGACAGAATCGCCAAACAGCTGGGGGCCCCCCCCCCCCCTGCCCCTCCCACCCCTCCAGGAGGGCTGAATCTCCCCTGGACATTGCCAGCTGTTCCCCTCTGCCAGGGAGCGAGGGGAAAGGGCCCAGTTTGCTGCATTCCCAACTGTAGGTGGGGAGCATGGGGGGCAGATAAACCTGGACCTGCCCCAGCCGGGGCACATTCACCGCCCCCCTCCCCCCCCCGTGGCTGTGCCCGCTGGGGAGGGGTGTAGTTTCAAGACACGCGAGAGCAAAGGCGCCAGTGTCGTACCCAAGCGAGCCCGCGCAGGAGATGCGCGGGTTTGCGTTCCCAGGCTGTGGGGGTACATCCTCAGGAGAGATTTCAAACTCTGTGCCCCCCCCCCAAAAGATGAGAGGAGCCAGGCCTGGCTGAGGAGTGGGGGTTTCTGCAGCTCTTGAGTAATGGGGAAGGGGGCGGGATTCTTCCTCACTCCTATTTTACACTGAGGCAGACTCCAGGGCCTTCGGTCAAGCTGCTTCTGGATCCCTACCAGGCTGTGTAGGCTGAGAACAGGGCTCTCGGATCAGCTGAGAAGGGCAGGCACCGGGTGGGTGACTCGTGCTCTTGGTTCACGTGCTCCCTGTTTTCAGACGCCATCTCCAGCACCACCGTTTCCTTCACGCATGCGGAGACCCCAGTCTACAAGTACACCCGCTCCAAGCTGTACACAGTCAGAGACGAGGAACACAAGAGTTTGGTCCTGCAGAGCCACGCCGGCCAGGCCCTGCTGGTGGCAGTGCACTTGCAAGGCCCCAAAATCAGTGAAGAAGGTAAATTTTTTTTGTTGCAGGATGTCTACATTTAAATCTGCTACTGTGTGTCCCAGGAGATTGAAGTGTTCTCCTACAGGTTTTTGTATATTTCCATTCCTGATATCTGATTTGTGTCCGTTTATGCTTTTACATAGGGGCTGTCCAGTTTGGCCGATGTATACGGCAGAGGGACATTGCTGGCACATGATGGCCTATATTACATTGGTAGTTGTGCAGGTGAATGAACCCGTGTCGCTGGTGTAGATATGCGGGCAGAGTTGGCACCGAGGTTTATTGCATGGATTGATTCCTGAGTTAGGGTTACTGTGGTGCGGTGTAGAGTTGCTGGTGAGAATTTGCTTCAGGTTGGAGGGTTGTCTGTGGGCAAGGACTGGCCTGCCTCCCAAGGCCTGTGAAAGCGAGGGATCGTTGTCCAGGATGGGTTGTAGATCACTGATGATGCATGGGAGAGGTTTTAGCTGAGGGCTGTAGGTGATGGCCGGTGGTGTTCTGTTGGTTTCTTTATTGGGCTTGTCTTGTAGTGGGAGGCCTCTGGGTACACGTCTGGCTCTGTTGATCTGTTTCCTCACTTCCTCGGGCGGGTATTGTAGTTTCAAGATTGCTCGGTGAAGATCTTGTAGGTGTTTGTCTCTGTCTGAGGAGCTGGAGCAAATGAGGTTGTACCTTAGTGCTTGGTTGTAGACAATGGATCTTGTTGCCATAGGTGGCTGGACCCCACTCCCAGCTGAGAATGCTGGATGGCTGGTCAGTTTCATTGCTCAGGTTGGGAGCCCTGAAACTGACAAGACTGCCTGGCTCCTAGGGGGAGCAGGCGGAGGTGGGGGGCAGAAGCCCAGGAGCTGACTGTGTGGCCGTGCACCACCACAGTCATTACTGTAGCTGCTGCTGCGTGTGTGACTCGACCTCGTGCAATCTGTTGAAGTGTCTCATATCGATAGACCCTGCGCATCTACCTGTGCAGCAGAAACCCGTCTCTTCCCTTCCCCCCCTCTTCTCCTCTTCCTGCTGCATGGGTTTTGTTGTAAATGTGACAGGTTCACACTCACTGCTGCAGCACCCCCTGCTGCCCGTCCTGGGAATTTGCTCCTTCGAGCTCCAGAGCCTCCCTCCTAGCGGCCTCTCACCTGCCGCTGCTAACCTCCACGCTCCCGGGCTGCAGCGCCCCTCCCCCCGGCAGCGCTCGCCCTGAGTCCCTCCCCTTCGAGGAGCCAGCTGGGCCTCGTCCCACCACTCGTCTCAGCGACCTACTGCAGCCCTCTCCTTCGGGGCAACCTGCCGTCTAAACCGGCCACTCTCACTGTCGACAAGGGGGGAACTGACTGTCTGTTCCCCCTGCCCAGTCCCCTCTTGGGCCCCTGTGTCAGGGCCTCAGCCTGGGAGCTGGTCCAGCCAGAGCTCCCTGCTGCCCCTGGCTTTCCTGCACTGCTCTGTCCCGTGTACCTCTGTGCAGGCAACAAGTCAACCTCCCTCCAGAGCTGAAGGGACACTAAACCCCCTCTGCCCAGAGCCCTTCTTATAGGGCCTAGCCTGGCCCTGATTGGCTACATTCAGCCTCCTTCTGATTGGCTGCTGCCACAGCCCTCTCCAAGGGCTGTTTTAACCCCTTACGTTCCTGTGCCCTGTGACAGCAAACAACCGGCTTGGGGGTGCCCTGCCCTGGCTGAGGGCTTCACCCCTGTGGTGAGGTGATGCTGTAGCTGCCCCACAGTTCCCATGTTCACACTGCACACAGGCACACATCCCCACTGTCACCGGGACTCGCTCTGAGTGGCCGTCAAATTCAGGAGAGGACAGGCATTCAGAAAAGAGCAGCTGGGCACGGACTGTGCACGTGGCCTTGCCCACGGCCAGCTGAGTCCCGGCTTACCCCGTGGGCACAGCCCTCTCGTGCTGCCCTGGCAGCATCTGCCCACATGGGGACTGACGGGGTTACAGGCGGCACTGGGCCTGGGGCATGCGCCAGCTGGAGAGGGAGCTTCAACGGGAGCAACCCCGGCCTGCGGGGGACGCTGGGGAGGAGACAGAGCAGCTGTGAGGACCCCCAATCCGTGGCTGGCGACGGGGCCACGCTGGGGGGGAGAC